GGATCGGCATTCCCAGAGACCCGGGACACAGCGATTCCCCCGGCTCGGCATTCCCCAAACCCCAGCACGGCATTCCCAGAGTCCCGGGACACAGAGATTCCCCCGGCTCGGCATTCCCAAAACCCCAGCACGGCATTCCCAGAGTCTTGGGACACAGAGATTCCCCCGGCTCGGCATTCCCAAAACCCCAGCACGGCATTCCCAGAGTCTTGGGACACCCCGATTCCCTGCCCAACACTCCCAAAGTCCCGGGATGCACCGATCCCCGGTGCATCATTCCCAGAGTCCGGGGAGCCGCTGATCCCCAGCCCGGCATTCCCAGAGACCCGGGACACCCCGATCCCCGGTTCGGCATTCCCGGAGTCCCGGGACACAGCGATTCCCCCGGCCTGGCATTCCCAAAACCCCAGCACGGCATTCCCAGAGTCCCGGGACACCCCGAACCCAAGCACGGCATTCCCAGAGTCCCGGGACACAGAGATTCCCGGCTCGGCATTCCCAGAGTCCCGGCTCGGCATTCCCAGAGTCCGGGGAGCCGCTGATCCCCAGCCCGGCATTCCCAGAGTCCTGGGACACCCCGATCCCAAACACGGCATTCCCAAAGTCCCGTGAGCCACTGATTTCCCGCAAGGCATTCCCAGAGTCCTGGGACACAGCGACCCTCAGGATGGCATCCCCTGTTCCCGGGACACCCCGATCCTGACTCAGCATTCCCAATTCCCGGGACACCCCGATCCTGACACAGCATTCCCAGACTCTCGGGACATTCTGACCCCTGACTCAGCATTCCCAGACTCCCGGGATATCCAATCCCTGACACAGCGTTCCCGGCTCCCGGGACATTCTGACCCCTGACTCAGCATTCCCAGACTCCTGGGACACGCCATTCCCAGGACAGCAACCCCCGCTCCCAGTCCATCCCAATCCCAGGCTGGCATTCCCCATTCATGTTCCCGATCCCGATCCCATTTCCAGTCAATCCCAATCCCAATCCCATTCCCAGTCCATCTCGTTCCCATCCAATCCCCCATCCCCATTATTCCCATTCTCCATTCCCCATTCGCAATCCCATTCCCGATCCCATCCCCATTATTCCCATTCCCCATTCCTGATCTCATATCCCATATTCCGTATCCCATATCCCAATCCCAATATTCCCAATCCCATTATTCCCAGTCACCTCCTTCCCGCTCCG